GGGGGGATTCTGGGGGGGTGAAGGCCACATGTCTCGTGACTCCGGGAGAGAAGCGCAACAGAGATGACCGGGAGGCTAAAACATAACGAAGAACAATGGCAGATATGGAGACGTGATATCAGTCTTCCAATATTTCGGGAAGGGGGGGGGGCTGCCCCAAAGAGGAGGGGGGTCAAATTATTCTCCAGAGCCCCAGAAAACAGGAGAAGAAACAACCGAGGAATGAAGCAACCCGGAACAAAGGAGAAACTTTCTGACAGGGAGGACAAGTAATCGCGGGTGCTCCCATCCCTGGAGGCTTTTAAGAGGAGACTGGACAGCCGCTTGCCTGAGATTGCATAGGGTTCTCCTGCTTGAGCAGGGGGCTGGACTAGAAGACCTCTAAGGTCCCTCCCAGCTCTATTCTGCTTTAAGAAAAGGGGGGGAAAATGCCAGCTGTCTCAACCTGTGCTTTTCTACTTGGCCGAGACTAGAATTCCCATCGTGGTTGGCGGGTGGGTGTTTATGGGGGTGGTTGTTATTGACCCTTGACCTTTGGTGTCCAAGGTCAGCTCTTGGATAGCCTGCTGGGGGGGGGGGGGGCCTGCGTTGCTCAGTGGGAGCCACGACGACGGGGTTAAAATGCAGCGCACGGGTGAGCCCTGCTTAATGACTTAGAGACATCGATTCTTTGAAGGCCATTAGTGCTGATTGTGAAAGAACAGCCAATACTTTTAAAACTTAGCCAAACCATTTGTCTCCTCTTAAAAGTACGTATCAAATTTAGCCACGCAGGAGTTAAGGTCCTTTTCAAGATCTTTGCAGGCAGGTTGTTTTTTTTGGGGGGGGGGGAAGTGGGGGGCAGTATTTACAAGCATGCAAACACGTGCCCCGTATTGATGACCTTTGTCAGGACTCCGGCACTTCACCCCAATTAAATCATGAGTCTCGAGCCAAACTTCCGAAACTTCAAAAGGATTTATTGGGAGTTAACATGTCCGGCACTGCCTGGGTGTAGCCGACTCTGAGACACATCATTCATGGTCACCCTTGACCCTGGTTTTCCCCCCACACCCCCTGGGTGTATCGTAATTCATATTCTCCAATGGGACACATCCATAGCCCAGAGTCATCAATCAGGCTCTCCAGTTAGATATTGTTGTGGTTCGCCGGCAGCAGGTGAGGACAGCTGAGGTCTCGGGGAGCGAGGACTCAGGTGAGGGGCCTGCGTGTGAGGCAGGGATGGGGCCAGGACCATCAGGGAGGGGAGTGCTGCCTTCGGAGCTTGTGGAGGCCGGCAGCAGTGAGGAAGAGGCCCCCGAGGAGCCTGGGCCCAGTGCGCGTGCGCGCAGGGCTGCTCGAAGGAAAGAGCAGCTTAAGCAGCACAGGCGACTCGGGAGTAAGGCTGCAAAGGAAAGGCCCCTCCCTTAAGGGATAAAAGCCAGCCTGAGAGATCAGGATTCTTTGCAGGAAGCAACGAAGTTCTAGCATTTCAAGCCTTGTAGAAGTTCGGACTATCTTGGTTTGTGTTGGAACACTTTTTGTTTGGAATATTTCTTGGCAACTTTATCTAGTGTTCTTGGCAGCCTTACACAACCTTGGCAAGGCTCGTTCTTATCAGAGACAATCAGTTTGAAACAGCCTGTTAACGGGGAGTGAACAGAACTTGCAGAGAAGCATTAAAAGGTTTTGCTTTTATCTCCCTGGTGTTTGTTTACTTGGAACAAGGTTTGGGTCAGAACAGATATTTGCACGGCAGAAACTTTAGTCACCTAGCTGCTATCTTTGAAAAACTATTTGTGGAATGCACTTTCGCTTTCCAAGCTGCCACACTGCTTTTTCCAAACCTGTTTCCCCCTCTCCCTTTCTGTTGGCAAGCCTAAAAAAATGACCATAGAGATATTTTTTGAGTTTTCTTTTTAAAAGTTGAATTTTATTTTTATTTTTTAATTTTTGGAAGGCTGGTTTGGCACTGGCTCCCAGCGCGTTGGGCTGCGAGGGCAGGATTAGAACTCACGGCAGGGACAGCAAAGAAGCCCTTCTGGCTGAAAAGTGTAGGAGTTTGAGGGTATTTTTAAGGGGAGGGGGGGGGCTCCTCCCAAAAGCCAGAATGTCTGTTTTGCTTGCCCGACGGAAAGGCAAAAATAATAACAATAACAATAATAATAGAGAGAGGTCCATCTGTTTCTCTATATAGTCGGTGGCCGTTAGAGTGACGGGGTGTGTGACGCCCCCCCCATTGCAAAAAGGACCAGATTAATACCTGTAGTGTGACAGCAAATCTCTCCCCCCCCCCTTTAATCCTTGCCAAGTAACGTCAGCTGCCCGTAAGCCGATTGGCCTGGGTGACACCGGATTCACAAGAGGGCTTTGCCAAGTCCGAATTAACCCGTTTTTCTCGCCTCTCCCTGGGAGGGAAATCCTTGCTTAGGGCGGCCGGGAGGTGGGGGCGGGCGGGAGAAATGACCCATATTCCACATCCCTTTCAGACGCTTTAAAAAAAAAAAGTTTCCAACCAACCCCCCCCCCCTCCCCAAAGGACTTCTGTTTCTGTATCTGAGAAGGACCTCGGTGCCAATTGCGGTAGTAAAATGCAGGTAAACCACAATGGAGACCCCAATTTCCATCGCTGAGTGAAACCGTTGTTAAGTGAGTTCTGTCCCATTTTATGACCCTCTTGCCACAGAGAGAGAGGGTCATAAAACCCTCTTGTCTCTCTCTCTCTCTCCCTCTCTCTCTCTCTCTTCTTCTGTCTGTCTATCATCATCTATCATCTGTCTGTCTGTATCTATCATCTATCTACATCTGTCTGTCTTTATCTCATCTGTCTATCATCTATCATCTGTCTATTTATATCTATCTGTATCTATCATCTACGTCTGGGTCTGTCTATCTCATCTGTCTATCATTTGTCTTATCTATCATCTATCTGTCTATCTCTATCATCTGCCTATCTCATCTGTCTGTCTATCATCTCTCTGTATCTCTCTATCATCTACACCTGTCTATCATCTATCTGTCTATATCATCTATCTGTATCTCTTATCATCTACATCTGTGTCTATCTCATCTGTCTATCATCTATCTATCTGTCTATATCATCTGTCTGCCTGTTTGTCTGTCTCATCTGTCTATCATCTATCTGTATCTGTTATGTACATCTGTGTCTATCTGTCTATCTCATCTATCATCTATCTATCTCATCTGTCTATCATCTATCTGGATCTGTATCATCCACATCTCTGTCTATCTCTGTCTGTCTGTATCTATCATCTATCTACCTATCTATCTGTCTATCTACTGTATATCTATCTGTCTTGCCTGCCTGCCTGCCTATCTGTCTGTCTACCTATCTATTTCTATATCTATCTACCTATCTACCTACCTACCTACCTATCTATCCATCCATCCTTCCTTCCTTCCATCCATCCATCCATCCACGTGTCTGTCTATCTAACTACCTAACTCAGTAGCCCTTAGACTTGTATAACGCTTCGTGGTGCTGGACAGCCCTCTCTAAGCAGTTTACAAAATTTAATGTCAGCCTCTTGCCCCCCCAAACCATCTGGGTCCTCCTCTTACCAACCCGCAGAAGGACAGAAGTCCGAGTCTTCCCTGAGCCGGTCAGGAGGCAGAAAAGGAGGCGAACCTTAGATATACGGCCATCACTGCGGAAGGATTGGAAGACGGCGGCGATGGCGAGGGGTGGAAATTGGGACGGAGTCATGAAAGAGGGGTGGTTGGGGGGGGGGCTAACCCCTCTGTGGTCCCTTCCACCCCCACCCCTTCCTGTCTGGCTCAAGAGGTCAGCCAAGGGCCACTGGGCCTGCTTAACAGGGGTGCGGGGGAGGGATCGGTTAAACGGCCACTTGATTTCCCAAATTGGTCCTTATCCAGCAGGTGGCAAGTCCCCCTTTGCTTTCATCTCCCCGTGATGATTGCAGCTAATTAAGTTCAGGACCAGCTTCTCCCTCTGCCCTCCCCCCCCCTCCCTGGACCCCCCCCTTCCCTCCTTTGGCAGCTTTAATTGTCCGTTATTCATCGGCTCAGCTGTCTGTCCAGAGTGTGGGTTGTGGGCAGACACACACACACACGCACGCACACACACACACACACACACACACACACACACCATCACCGCCGCCACCAAGGAGAGGCCCCAGCTAATTGCAAAGCCGGAGGGATTAAGTCCGGTGATTACCCCCCCCCCCCTTTTCATGCTGTAATTACATCAGCATCGCTCGGCCGTGGCTGCGGCGCCCGGCATTTAAGCGCCCCCGAAGGTCACACACGGCTGCAGTTACCTGAGATTAATTGGCGCTGCCAGCGAAGCGCGAGAGGCTCTGGCGGAGCCGTGACGCGATTAGCATTAACATTTCAACAGCCAGCCGATCGATTCCCACCCCCCACCTCCCTCGGCTTTGCCTGCGCCCCGGCCCTGCCAGGCCCGCGGCTGTCCTCCAGACGCACCGGGAGCCCTGCAATTAGTTTAGGAGGAAGGAAAGAAGGGAGGGTGGGAAAAGAGGGGAGCCCCCCCCGCCCTCCCCGCAGAGGCAGACAGAAGGGAAGGGCTGGAGGGGGAAAGACAGATGGGTCGAGAACCAAAGAGGAGGAGGAGGGTTTTTTTTTAAATCCATCTTGGCAGATTTCTCGGCTGGAAAGGTTTCTTTTCAACCGTGGGGAGCATCCGTTTTGCAATTCTCAGAAGGGTTGCGAGCAGACAAATGTTTGGGGGGGGGGGTTTTGGGGGCCCGGTCCCAACTCCCCCCCCCCCCCCAAATTGTCTTCAGAAACACCCTGCTAGCTGTTGGCATCCATCGAAGACCCAAAATTGTTCGGGGCAAAGAGGCTGACTCTGTAAACCGTTTAGAGAGGGCTGTGAAGCACTGTGAAGCGGTATATAAGTCTTAAGTACTATTACTATTTCCTTCCTTCCTTCCTTCCTTCCTTCCTTCCTTCCGTCCTTCCTTCCTTCCTTCCTTCCTTCCTTCCAACCTTTCCTTCCTTCCAACCTTCCTTCCTTCCTTCCTTCCTTCCTTCCTTCCTTCCTTCCTTCCTTCCTTCCTTCCTTCCTTCCTTTCTTCCTTCCCAATGGTTAGAAAGCTCAACCCCAGGAAAAAGTAAGAAGACACAAGGCTGAATATCGATGTTTCTGTACCTTCCATTTCGTTCCTTTTAACGTTCCCTTTCATGCCCCCGTTGGACTCTGATTCCAAGGGAGAGGAGGATCAGCTGACAGGAAGTGGGGGTGTGGCTCCGGTGGCTGCGGAGGAAACTGGGGAAGGGCACAGTCCGGCTGGGCATTCAGAGGAAGACCCAGGCCCACCCCCTCTGCCTCCTAGGGCACGCGGGAGGAACGGAGACAGGAGCAAGGTGAATTGCGTGGCTTACAGGGGGAGGAAAGGGCCCTGATCCCCTTGATTAGCTGCAGCTGGGAAAACTGTTTAAAAAGGCAAATTGCACACAGCAAAGTTGCTGGAAGCAAAGCGTGAAATTATCTTTGTCTGTCACGTCTTATCTGAGTTCTGGTGTCCTCCCAACTGTGTGTGTTTCGTTATCTTTTGGAAGTCTGCAATCCCTTCTCCTGCCCTGTCTGGTTAATTGCTGCAGCAAGTGGTTTGTGTTGGTTTTTATTTATACTTTATATGTACTTTGGGTTCGGATGGAATTTCTTCCCTTTAAACGCTGTTCGTGGGAGAGTTTTTTTTCATCCAGACGATGATGATAACTGGACATTGGAGGCCAAGTTGGAGGAATTTAAGGGACTTTACGTACTTTTGTGACTCTGATGCTTTTGTGCCAGGCCTCTTTGGGTCACCACATTCCCCTTTCACGTTTCCCCTCTACAGGGAGATGTCCCACCCTCCACCTCTCCTGTCGCCCCAGAATGCTCCCCACATCGCTTTAGGGCCTCACTTGAGACCCCCGTTTCTGGGGGTGCCTTCAGCTTTGTGCCAGACACCAGGTAAGAGGGCTGTGAAGGGGGAGAAGGGGGCTTGGTGGGGGGAGAACAGAGGGCTTGAAACAGGGACGGGGAGGGGGTGACATTTATTTTTCTTTTCTTTTTCTTCCTTCAACCCTGAGGGAGTGGGGGGAGCAGGTAGGAAGGAGGAGTGGATTGGTTGGGGGGCAAGGCTGGATAAGGGAGCCTAAGAAGTGGGGGGGGGTCGCTTCTCATCCTTCACTCTGCAGATTCTTTTATGAATTTCTTCTCTCCGTGTAAGTCCTCTCCCTCCCCCTCCCGTTAATGCAGTCCATTAATTGATTAATTAATGGGTTTGCTCATTCTCATTCTGTCCTTCGTTTTTGTTTCTCTCTTTTCCCCTGGTGTCTTCCTTCCTTCCTTCTCCCTCCCTCCCTCGTCTCTCTTCCTGCTTCCTCTTTCAGTGCCCTCCCTTCCTTCCTTCCTTCCTTCCTTCCTTCCTTCCTTCCTTCCTTCCTTCCTTCCTTCTTCAGTGTCCTCCCTCCCTTGTCTCTCTTCCTTCTTCCTTCCTTCCTTCCTTCCTTCCTTCCTTCTTTCTTCAGTGTCCTCCCTCCCTCGTCTCTCTTCTTCCTTCCTCTTTCAGTCCTTCCTTCCTGCCTCCGCCCCTCTCTCCCTCCCTCCCTTCTCTCCACCTCTTTTCCCCTTCTTTCCGTTTTCCTCTTTTTTGTCTACCTCCTTCCCTCCTTCCGGCTGCAATTCTATCCCTCCCCCTGGTTAATTCATCTCTCCTTTCTCCCTGAGTCTACAGCCTCCTTCTCTCTCTCTCTCTCTCTCTCTCTCCCTCTCTCCCACTCCCTCTCCCTCTCTCCCTCTCTCTCTGTCACACACACACACAGAGAGAGTCTCAATTTCCAGGCCTGACGTTGTTCCATCTCTAGCCAGAACATGCCACGAGTTGAACCTCGAGCTAGCCAAGCAC